TGCTTATTAGTATGGTTGAACTGGATCATCGAAGGTCAGAAGCAAAGACATTGGTTAATAGAATGGGATTAAATACATAAAGGATATTTGTGTTGTTTAACATTTAATTATGGCAGGTTTGCGTCATATTCTGAGTTGCATTATTTTTATTCATTTTGAGGAATACTGAATCTGTGTTTCTTTTTTTTTTTGTGAGTGAGATGAATTAATGCATATTCATATTTATTTTAGAACTACAGTAACATCTGATTTCTCTCTCCTGTGGACAGGAGAGCTGTCAATCAATAAATTGGAAAAAAAAGTAACTTGCGTTACTTATTTGAAAAAGTAACTCAGATATTCTCTTGTAAATTAAAAAGTAATGCGTTACTTTACTAGTTACTTGAAAAAAGTAATCTGATTATGTAACTCGCGTTACCCCCAACACTGCAGTGCTTGTTCTGTGTCCTGATTGTGATTCTCCTCTCAGAGCCCAGCTGGAGCATCCGAGCCAATGACAGGGAATATTGCAATCAGCCCCAGTTCAAGAAGAAGGTCTTTCTGTGCATCAAGAAAAGCAAATATTCTGTAAGTGAATCCATTGCTATTTTTAGTAAAAACCTGAAATATCTGTTTGCACACTACCGGTTTGGAATAATTAAGATTTTTTGAATGCTTCTAAAAGAAGTGTCTTTTGCTGCATTTATTTGATGAAAATACATAAAAAATTGTGAAATATTATTACAATGTAAAATAACTGTTTTCTATGTGTATATATTGTAAAATGTAATCATCAGCATCATTACTCCAGTCTTCAGTGTCACATGATCTTCAGAAATCATTCTAATATGCTGATTTGCTGCTCAAGAAACATTTGTGCTGCTTCATATTTTTTGAAGAGTAAGAGTAAGTGATTTTTTTTTTTATTTAAAATGTGTACTTTTATTCAACAAGGATGTGTTAAATTGATCAAAATTTTATATTCATCAAATAATCCTGAAAAAAGTATCACAGTTTCAACCAAAAACAAATAATAATCATAAGAATAATCATTAATAAATGAGAAGCAATAATAATTAAGCAGCATATTAGAATGATTTCTGAAGGATCATGTGACACTGAAGACTAGAGTAATGATGCTGAAAATTCAGCTTTGATCACAGGAATAAATTACATTTGATAATATATTCACATAGAAAACAGATGTTTGAAATTGTAATAATATTTCACAATTTTTACTGCAGTTTTGATCAAATAAATGCAGCTTTGGTGAGCAGAAGAGACTTCTTTCAAAAACATAAAGTCGTAATTATTCCAGACTTTTGACTGGTGTTCTATATGGTAAAGAATTTTATTTTATGCTTTTATTTTGGGGCGATGTGATGTGGTGCTTAAAGTGAGCTTGTAAGCAAAAGTCTATGATTGTGCCTTTAAGACGCTCAACTCTAGAGATTGTCCTGGTAAATACTGCGAGCATCCTCAGATAATTCCCACTGCTTACTAACACTAAACGCTCGCATGCTGGATTTTTCCACTTTTTACACCGCAAACAGTGAGTGTTTGAAGTGGGAAGGTGTTTTCATCTTAAACTAAAGGACCATGAAAGTGAAACTATACTTTTACTATACCATAATCATTATTTTGATGTATGTTTCCTCTCATACAAGCTTTACAATCATTGTACGAATTGGTCAAACCAGTGTTCAGATTAACATATGAATTTTTAGTTTTCTGAGAAGGGACTGAAATGTTACTGTATCTGTTTTTCTCTGTCAAATGTTTAATTTGTAGTCAGATAAATCACGAATCACCTTTGAATTCACCTGAAAAACAACAACAACGTCACACAGTTTAGCTTCAAAGGTGACATTTCTGCGTATTGATTGCACTCATTGTTCATAGTTCTACTCATAGTGACTTAACAAACATTGCAAGTCAATCTTAGTATCACACTTCAGTCTGAGACATTTATATCTTTGGAAACGCCAGAAAATTAAGTAACACGTCATGCATTTTGTTTGCAATTCGTCTCTTATCTGTTTTGTTGTGTTAAAAAACTCTTAACACCTTGGGGCTTGGCCTCTATTATGGTCTAAACTAAGAGTTTTATGGTCATTTTCTTACATCATTTACATGTTAAACACGCAACAGCTCCGTTCAGAATGGTGGAGTTTAAGATCTTTGGTATGACAATTATCTAAGACTGGATAAATGAGTCCTTCAGGGTCAAATGTCTCAAGGTTTGCCGTGTATCATGTGTTCTGCGTGAGATATAAGCAGCGATGACTGGATTTGTCTTGAGGTTGAAATGTTACCCTACGAGAGCAGATATAGATGTGTTGTGATTTACATTTATGGAAATCAGTTGGGTTTGGTAACTAAAATTTTGAACGAGAAAGAGAGAGTGAATGGAACTGAAATAGAGAAACTGAAAAATAGGATCTAAAATAGAAAAACAGGCAAATGAATTGCAGAAACACATTGAATTAGACTCATGAATACGTAACAGTGGAATTGAACCTGTATGGAAGACTGTTTCTGCCACGCGGCTTTTGATGTCACAATTTAGGCTTTTTTTTTTTTTTTTTTGGAAGTTCCAAGATTGTGTCTCGCAGTTCTGAGAAAAGAAGTCAGTATTCCAAGACAAAAAGTCACAATTCACTTTATGATTGTTATTTTTTAATCCATGGCAGTGAAAAACAAATTGAAGCACAGAATTGTGGCATGTCGAGTCAGAATTCCAATAAAAAAATAACATTTATTGATATAAATAAATATTATATTATAGTAATTAATTCTATATTTAAAAATATTTTTTAACAAGTCTATTAAAATATAAAATTAATTACTAAATATTTGAAAGAAAATTTCATGTTCTCATTTTATGAACTGTATGAACATATGATGTGAACTTCAGTCCTCAGAATCGCAGAATTCAGTGAAACATTACAAAATTGCAAGAAATAAACTTGACAAACGTCAAAATTGTAAGATGTAAAAAAAAATAAAAAAATCTCAGGAGTATGTGATTGAAAAAAAGTCAGCATTGTGCGATTGTTGCAATTGTTTTCTATTCTATTCTATTCTATTCTATTCTATTCTATTCTATTCTATACTTCAATGAAATCCTTACCACAGATCTGAAGACCAGTTTTTATTTAGACTTTTGATTTTTGATAAAAATTCTTAAAGTTTCAAATGTATTTATCTGCTATTCCAGCCTCAAAATTCAGAAAGCTCCTGAGAAACTAGTCTGCATTATTTCACAACTAACAAGCTTTAAACTTACTGAAGAGCCTTGGGTTACATGAGAAGCCATTTTCCTTTACAAAGCCTTGAATTTCTCTGTGAAATATTGATATATTATTTCACATTCAGCAGGTAATGTTTTATGTAAAGGATATCTTAATTGTGATAATTCACAATTCAGTCCTTTTGGGATGAGAACTTGCAAAAATAAAATTTAAGTTGCAAAAACTTAATGTTTTTACACCAGTTTGATAATAACTTGAATTTCTTTTCATTTTAAGGGCAATGCAATCAAGACCTACAAATACAACGTCTTCACCTTCCTGCCGCTGAACCTGTACGAGCAGTTTAAGAGAGTGGCCAACCTCTACTTCCTGTGTCTGCTGATCCTGCAGGTAGAAACTAAGCGGCAACCTCCCGCTCTCTCTCGTGAAGCCAACACGGAAGTGACTTAAACTGTATTTCGACAACTGGCCGCTAGAGGCTGGCTGTAAAAGGGAGTCAGTCCCATAGACTCCCCATGTTAAAATGCCCAACTTTACAGCAGAATAAAACATGCCTGGTTCAAAAAGTGGTTTTGGTCTATATAGCTAATACATGACATTCATGACAACTGTGAGGGGGTGAATTTTTTTTATAACTCATCCGTTTAAATTATATTAAGCCTTAAAGTTCTGCATAATTAGGGGCGTGGCCACTTGAGTGACAGGTGGATTGCTGCTGCTGTTACCACCGTCGAGCTAGGTGGGCGTGGTTTCAGCAACCAGCTCCCGCCTCTTTGCCCATTTTCGATTATCCGGGAGTGAAGCGCTGCCAAGATGGCGACGGCCGGCTCCACCCACTTTGAGCTTCAAAAATGCTCTTCAGAAAACTACGGGTGACGTCACGGACACTACGTCCATGTTTTTATACAGTCTGTGGTATAAACCCACAAGCACTGCCAGAGTTGACCTCACTCTGTCAGGATCGCAGGCTGATCAGGATGAGCGATCAGGGCTCGTATCACCATATTGAGATTTCTTTTGTGATAGTGACCTAACTGTGCGTTACATTTATTTAAAAAATAAACTGTTTCAGAGACATCGTGAAATCATTTGTGTCGCTCTGATAAATAAGATATTTATTATTTATTTATGAAAAATGTATGATTTATGATCATTTTTAATTATTTACATCTGTTGCTCAGCATATATACGTTGATATAAGTATGGAAAACATATAAAAAATATTATAGAATGAATTATTAAATCGTTTTTAAGAAAAACGGTTGATTTCAGTTTCATGTTGTCATTTTACGAATAATATGAACATATGATATGAACTTCAATCTGTTTTCATATGTCAGGTCATTCAAAATATATGAAATATAAAGTAGATTTATATAAAACTAGATATATTTTGTTTTATTTATATAAATAAATGCAATTAAATTAAATTAATTAATTTTATCTTTCAAAAATAGTATGTGTGGGTGTATAATGTATATCTCAAAAAATATTTATAAAAATTTTATTGATATAATTTTATTGGTGTAATTATTGAAAATAAACAGGGTCTGTATGTCAGATCATTAAAAAATAAAAGTGTGTGTTTATATATTAAATATATTTATTTATAATATAAATTATATTTTTATAAATATAGACATGTAAATACATATAAATATTTTCCAAATATATACTGTATGTGTGTGTCTTTTATATATACATAATAAATATACACAGTACAGACACATATATTATGCAAACAAAAACTGTTATTTTGTATGCGATTAATCGCAATTAATCGTTTAACAGCACTTTGGTGCTTTTGGATTTGGTGTTGTTTTATGAATATGAATCTATGTGTTTGAATGTGTCAGATCATTCCTCAAATCTCCACGCTGCCGTGGTACACCACCCTGGTGCCGTTAGTGCTGGTGTTGGGCATCACTGCCATTAAAGACCTGGTGGATGACCTGGTGAGTCCCTGCCTGTGCTTTCTGATGGAATGGTTTTGTTGAAAGGCAGCCATTAATTGTCAGGATCTGCTAATGGTTTCTGTCATCTGATCTGTGTCTCGTTGAAAGGCACGACACAGGATGGACAAAGAAATCAACAACAGAAGGTGTGACGTGCTGCTCAATGGCAGGTGAAGACCGAACTTTAATCTGCTTTAATACTGAAGTGCATGAGATTAGTGCTCATGTTTGTCAGTGAAAAAATATTATGTAAACATAAGGCTGAATTCTCATTTTTCAGGTTTGAAAAAACCAGATGGATGAACCTACAAGTTGGTGACGTGGTCAGACTAAAGAAAAACGATTTTATCCCGGTGAGTTATTTTTAAATCTATTTGCCTTCCTGTTGAGATTTTTATTTTTATTTAATTTTTATTTAATTTAATTTAATTTAATTTAATTTTATTTTATTTTTTATCCATGTGTCATTTGAGTGTGGGTTTCATCTGTTGTAGAGCATTTATACATTATAAAATAAAGAAATAAAATTAAATTATACATTAAAATAAATAAAATGATCTGTTAAATTAACAATTTTTTTCTAAGAGACGTGTAGGTTTGCTGTATGCCATTTTAAATACAAATATATATTTAATGAGATATACATAAAATAAAATAATGCAAATTAAAATATTTAACTTCAATATATATATTGAAATATTTTATAAAATATTTTACATTTTTATTTTAATGGTTAAAATATTATAATGTTAGTGAAATATCCACTTTAAGAAACCTGAAGTATATCTCATTATTGTCTATTTTAAGGAGGGCCTGATTGTTTTATGCTTGTTTCTGGGCTTTTCCCAAATTTTATGTATGCTAATCATTAATAATTCTATTGTTATTACATTACCTTGAATATTCATTTGGTTTCATGTCATGTTTATGCTCTATCCTACATTTAGTTTGTTAATGTATGTGTTTCTTCACCCCTCCAGTCACTTCATTCATCTGTTAGGTGTCATGCTTTAGTTGGTTTCTCATTTTCACCTGTGTTTTGACCTCACGTAGGCTGATATTCTGTTGTTGTCCAGTTCAAATCCCAACAGTCTGTGTTATGTAGAGACGGCGGAGCTCGACGGGTAAGAGACACATTAAACACACAACAAGCCACGCATCAGTTTATTAAGCCTCTGAATCACACTCTTGCATATTTCCACACTTTTAACACACAATGCCTATTTCTATGTTGATTTTTTACAGTAGTCATAATCGACTTGTTCTAGCCACAACCATAAAACCAATTCTGCTTGCATTAATCAGTTTTTGTGTAATTTGATGACTTCATGTCAGCATTATGAACGGTCATTAAAGTGCTCGGACATGATTCATAATGGGAGTTGTGTAATGGATTTGTTCTTTGTCTCGTACACTTCAGTCCAAACACAATCGCTTTAATTTGTTTTCTTTACATACAAAAGAATCATAATTCAGGTCCTGGCTTTGTTTGTCTGTGAACTTTTGAATGGCTTCATTTATATTAAAAATGTAATTGATATCATTAAAAATGTAATATTTAAAATATTTTATACGTTTTTCAAATGCAAGCCTTGTTTTCAAATGAGAAACCTGAAGTATTTCACATTAGTCTATATTTTAAGGTTTATAGATCCTAATTATGAAACATTTGATTGTCATTACACACACTTGAATATTAATTTGCTGTCATGTCATGTTTATGCTTGCTTTTTCTCATTTTCTCATTTTTTACATTTTCAGTCCATTTGTTTAGTCCAAACACAACAAAAACACAACACATTTTGTCTTTCACATACAATAGAATCATAATTCAGTTCCTGAGCTTGTCTGTCTGTTTAAATTTTCATATTAAAATACTTCATTGATATTTTTTATATTTTATAACATTTTTATTTTCATTAAAATCTTTGAATGCTTAAAATATTATAATATTAGTGAAAAATCTACAGCGAGGAACCTTAAATTTATGAATTTCACTGTGTTTGTGGATCCTAATTCATTACACACACCTTAAATGTTCATTTGCTGTCATGTTTATGCTTGCTTTTCCTCTGTTTTACATTTTAAAGTATTTTTACATTTCATTTGTTTAAATACACTTGCTTAATTTAGTTTTTACAGAATCGTAATTCAGTTGCTGCATTTGCCTGTCTGTGTACTTTTCCATTGTTTCGTAAATATATACAATTTTAAATATTAAATATTTAATTGATAGAATATTTCACTTTTAATATTTTATAAAAGCTTTCTCATTTTAATGTTAAAAATAGTATAATATTGGTGAAATATCCTCTGCAAGCAACTTGAAGTTGAAATAAAATATATATAAAAATTAAAAGAAATACTGAATATAAAATAAAAAATTAAAAAATCTATAAATAAAAAAACTATAAATAAATAAATAAAATATAATATTGAAATTAAATGTATATTTATCATTGTTTCGTGAAAGAGGATGGAAGTTGGTTTTAGTGCTTCTTGTTGTCAAATGACTTTTATTAATGTAGTTTCTCATTGTCCAGAGAGACGAATCTGAAGTTTAAGATGGGTCTCAAGGTGACTGACGAGCGTCTTCAGGAGGAGAATCAGTTGGCCCGGTTTAATGGTGAGTGTTACACCTATTATAGGAGAGTTGACAGACTTGGACACAGATCATTCGTGTGCGAGTAGTTGCTTGATTGTGATTTTCCATGCATTAACACGTGTTGGCCTTAAACCATGTGCTAGCCAGTATGGCTGGGTCTTGACACAATTTTCACGATTCGATTTGATTCTCATTCACGAGCTTTCGATTCAATTACCGATTCAATTCAATAGCGATTATTTTGGATATATATCAGTAGGCTACATGCCAAATTTTCTCAAGGAAAAAAAAAATCTCTCAACTAATGCTATAAAATATACATGAGAGTCAGTTGGTACTACATTACTATAATATTGAAGGTTAAAATTGACAGATTTGTTGGCTATACAACTGCTAAAATTACAGTTTTTAAAATAATAACGTTACAGTTACATACTATTTCTACTTCAGTTTTTTTTTGTTGAAATGGGATATAAACATTTAAATGGTGGCTGTCATGAAAACTTGATGGATTTATTCAAACATAAATTAAACATTGAAGAACAGTAAAAATTATAATGAATGTTATATGGTGCATATATTTAACAAAGTGCCCCTCTCTACAGTTTATTTTTCTATCTGATTAATGAGTTTATGGTCACCGAATATGTTTTTCTGAGGTAAATGCGACGTTACGTGACATTGTTTACAAGCCGTTATATTGACGTTTTTGCGCGGCTGAAACACTGATTGAGCGATTACATGAGACAGGATACGGATTGTAAAGCTGTACTCTTTCTTTTAACTTACCTTCGGATGTTTAGTCATGTTTATTTTGTGCTGAAACTGGTATCAATGTGGAGGAGATGATCAGTTCACAGTGATCTGTCACTCCACATTAAACCGCGCCAAAACGGCATTTATTGTTTGAATACTGCAATACAATGGACAGAATTTGAAATGTGGGACTGTTTTTATATTAAAAGTACCAAAGCACAATGCTTATTGCAATTTATTGGATGGGAGGTGCGCTTCAACGTTCCGTCCATTAACAGAAAACAGGCTAGACTAATCGATTCTTGGGATTTAAGAATCGATATCGTTCCATAAAAATGCGAATCGATTAAAATCGAAATATCTAAATTTTTTACCCAGCCCTACTAACCAGGTGTGGTTCGTGAATATCCAGCATCCAGCATCATTTTTCTGTCCTCACTAAAAACAAAATGCTGCAAAATGAGTGCTCAAGATTTGAAACCAGTGCAATTTCGAAACCAAGCAACTGGCAATGTTGTTAATGCTTCCATGTAACCATCCAGAGAATTTGCAGTGCAGTTTCTCGTTTTGTGTCTTTCTCAGCGTTGATCATGTGTGAGGAGCCCAACAACCGTCTGGATAAGTTTGTGGGAACGATGATCTGGGATGCTCAGAGTTACCCGCTCGACCTGGACAACATGCTGCTCAGAGGATGCAAGATTCGTAACACGGACGAGTGCCACGGCCTGGTCATATTCGCAGGTCAGTTCACTTCGCCGACCGACACGCTCTCACGGTCACGGTTCGGCGTGTGTTTGTGTTTGTGACAGCAGCTGTGATGTTTCGTTCTACAGGAAATGACACTAAAATCATGAGGAACGGAGGGAAGACCAGGTTCAAGCGCACCCTGATAGACAAACTCATGAACTACATGGTCTACACGGTCAGTTAAACACAGTTCACTGACGCCCACAAGTCATTTCGAGATTTTATTTGACATTTTTATTTATATTTACAGAATTGTATTTATTTATATTATTTATTATTTTTATTTATATTGCTATGTATACACAATGTATGCTATTTATACATTGTGTATTTATAGAGGTTTATTTTATTACTTTATTTATAGAGGTGTATATTTACAGAGAGTGCGGTTGAGTTTATATTTAGTTATACAAAGTGATTTATAGAAGTTTATTTCATTTATTTACAGAGAATGCACTCATACAATGTATTTATTTTAATTTATAGTGCTTTCATAATTTTATTTATCTATTATTTTGTTTAAAGAGAGTGCATTTATAGAATTTTGTTTATTTTATTCAATGTTTTTTATTTTTAGTTGTATTTATTTATAGAGAGTGCATTTATATAGTTATCATGATTTATTTTGCATTTGTATTTTTACTTTTATTCGTGTTTTTATTTATACAAAAAAGTGAATTCTAATTTATTTATTCTTTTTTATTCATAGAGAGTGCATTTATAGAGTTTGTTTATTTATATATTTGTATTTATTTATAGAGTTTGGGTTTTTATTTATTAATCTTATTTACAGAGAGTACATTCGAGTTTATTTATTTTTATTTATTTATAAAAAAAAGTAAAAATACAAATACAAAATAAATCATGATAATTATATAAATGCACTCTCTATAAATAAATACAACTAAAAATAAAAATTATTATTATTTTTTTTTTCATGTTTTTATTTATACAACGTTAATTCGGATTTATTTATTATTTTTTATTAATAGAGAGTGCATTTATATATTTTTATTTATATATTTTTATTTATTTATAGAGTTTGGGTTTTTATTACCATTTGTAGAATTATACATTGTGTATTTATAGAGGTTTGTTTTATTACTTTATTTATAGAGGTGTATATTTACAGAGAGTGCAGTTGAGTTTATATTTAGTTATACAAAGTGATTTATAGAATACATTTTATTTTATTCGGTATTTTTATTTATAGAGTGAATTTATAGTTTATTAGTCTTATTTACAGAGAGTGCAATTTTTAGTTGTATTTATTTATAGAGTACATTTTATATTGTTTATCCATTTTTTTTAATCATTATTTATGTTTATATTTTCACTTTTATTTATAAGTGCATAGTTTATCTATTATTTTTGTTTATAGAGAGTGCATTTTTCTTTATTATATTCAGTATTTTTATTTATAGAGTGAATTAATAGTTTTATTTATTAATCTTATTTACAGTGAGTGCATTTATAAAATTGTTTATTTTATTCAGTATGCTTTTTTATTTTTAGTTGTATTTATTTATAGAGAGTGCATTTATATAATTATCATGATTTATTTTGTATTTGTATTTTTACTTTTTTTTTTTCATGTTTTTATTTATACAAAGTTAATTCGGATTTATTTATTATTTTTTATTCATAGAGAGTGCATTTATAGAGTTTTTTTATTTATTTATAGAGTACATAAAAAATATTTATAGAGTTTGTGGTTTTATTTATTAATCTTATTTACAGAGAGTGCATTCGAGTTTGTTTATTTATTTATATAGTACATGGTATAGAATATTTTCTTTTTCTTTATATAGACCATTTGTAGAATTTAATTTATTTATCATATTTATTGTGCAAGTTTTATATATTTGTTTTTATTTATAGGTAATGCATTAATAGCCTAATAATACAATGCAATAAATCCTTTCTCATCTTGCACCCTAATATATTCTCATCTCTCTCTGGTTCTCCCTGTAGATCTTTGTGTTGTTGGTTTTGTTGTGCGCTGGTCTGGCCATCGGACACACGTACTGGTACGAGAGCATCGGCTCGAAGGCCTGGTATCTGTATGACGGCCTCAACTACTCTTCATCTTACCGAGGCTTCCTCAGTTTCTGGGGCTACATCATCATCCTCAACACCATGGTGCCCATTTCTCTCTATGTGAGGTACGACAGCAGGCTCTCCTCCGCTCTCTGAGCACACAGATGGCATTGTTCTTCAGATAACTCACTGGTTTCTGTTCTCTCAGCGTGGAGGTGATCCGCCTGGGTCAGAGTAAGTTCATTAACTGGGATCTGCAGATGTACTACGCTGACAAAGACACACCGGCCAAAGCCAGAACCACCACGCTGAACGAGCAGCTGGGCCAGATCGAGTACATCTTCTCTGATAAAACCGGCACGCTCACGCAGAACATCATGGCCTTCAAGAAGTGCACCATTAGAGGACGCACTTACGGTGAGAGAAGCCACCAACCTTGCTTTTAGAGGAACATTCTAAGAAAGCTAACCCTGTAAATCCTACTCTATCTTATTTGGTACACCAGTTTCTAAATAATCAACATAATCAAAACTTGTTGTACACAATAGTGTTATTATAGCTAAAACTAAAACCATTAAAAAAACATTTTAGTTGATTAAAATAAATGGTAAAATGAATGGAAATAAAATAATATATATAAGCTAGTTGCCAAGGCAATATTTCTCATTTTTTTAGATTTAGATTATTAGATTATTTAATTATTTAATTTAGATTAATTTAATGGACTGAAATAACTAAAACTGAAATAAAAAATAAAAAAATCTATATAGACATTTAAAAAACAAAACAATAAAATGTAAACAAAATTACTAAAACATTAAAATTAAAATGAATATGTAAAATATAAAAATACAAATTAATTTTAAATCTTTATAAAAACTATAATAGTGAATTCTCTCGTCTGATTGTTTCTTTTTTTATCAAGTAAAAGTCCTTTTAGTGTAATTATACAAACATTCACCTTCAGCTCATGATTCATGTGTCTTTTTACAGTGAAATCTGTTTTTTATAAAGTAAATGTAAGAATAGCTTTGATATTGTTAGTAATATTTCAAAATGAACACTGGACTGAAGCAACTTAGGTTTACTTGATTATCCAGATATCATTTTTTAGAAAAAAGTGAATATGATCACCAAGCTTTTGAGGAACGTTTATTTGTTCTTATCTCTCAATCATCATTGGATTGCACTGCATTATATGTTTTGATCATTTAAATCCCATCTCAATAAATGTCATCTCCCAAGACATATTATTGGAGATATAGAGTGACAACTGATATTTATATAATTTTATGTAAGTATCTGCTATACTGTTAGAAACATATTTTTGTCTATATAAAAATCATCATCTGCACCAAATTGCATATTTTTCCTCAGTTTGTGCCTCAGAATAAAATTAACGTGTTTTTTCCTCCATATTCTAAATTCTCCATTTCATCAGTGCACAATTTTCCACACCACAATCTGTTAAGCACATCTTACCAGCAAACATACACTCATTCACATCCTTCTCTTCACTCTCTGAGGCAGAAGTCTCCAAACTCATCCTTTCTAATCATCCTACTACTTGTCCGCTTGATCCTATTCCATCTCATCTCCTTCAAGCCATTTCTCCTGCAGTTGTACCTGCACTCACTCACATCATTAACACATCCCTTCACATTGGGGTTTTTCCCTCAACATTTAAACAGGCTCATGTGGTATGCAACTGCAACCGCTCGTTCTGGACTTGGCAAATGTCTTGTCCATCTATGTATGACATGATTGTTGATTTGCTTTTGTCATTGTGCAGCGTCCTTCAGCTTGGGAAAGGCGCTATATAAATGAAACATTATTATTATTATTATTACATCAACCATAACTCCTTCAAAAACACACAAAATTATGATTAATGATCGGCTGACTTTCTCAGACCACATTGCTAAAGCTGCCCGGTTCTGCAGATTTGCTTTATTCAACATCAAGAAGATCAGTATCTATTCGTTTTCTTTTTATTTATTATACAATTAACAAAAGCAAAAGAGGCCTCTAACACTAGCTTGGTCTATTCTTTTTCTATTCTATCTGTTTTCTTTTTATTTATTATATAATAATAAAAAAAACCCTTGCTACGTGTACTGCATTAAGCTAACTGAGACTTGTTATAGCACTTGTATATCATTGCTCTTTTGTTGATTTTGATTGCTTCCATTGTCCTAATCTGTAAGTCGCTTCGGATAAAAGTGTCTTCTAAATGATTAAATGTAAACGTAAATATTCTCACTTTATCATACTATATGAGCCATAAAAGCCTGATTATCAAATATAAGTATAACTTCAATAAACTGTTCCATTTAAAAAAAGTATGTTTTTCTAACTACTGTTTGACTTGTCAGGCTTTACAGGGTTAAAACATGCAGTCAAGTTGAGTGAAATTTAACCACTTGTTATTGAGGTTTTATCTTTCAAAGCATTAGATGCATTTAAATCAAGTATGAAAAGAGCTGATGCCAGTGTTGAATGTATTTGGATGAGTGTCAAAGGCGTGTCATGTCTGATCTGATATAATCCTTGGTTTATATGGTTTATATGAGCCCAGCTCACAGCCCTCACGTTTGTATTTGTGACTCCAGAGATGTGTGTGTGTGTGACTGTGGGGTGCCTCAGTGTGTGACTGTGGGAGAGATTTGAGGCTTTAGTTTCACACAGGTCAGGTTTCTGACCTGGATGAGATTAAAACACGCTGACACCTTCGACCTTGCCATGAAATAACTTGATATCATCTGTTTTACGCTTCAATAGCACTCCTTTTCCTTAATTACATTACATTATTAGAGGCTATTACAGTTGCTCATGCTTATAAACCTCTAAAAGTGAGTATTAAATGAGTGGCTCGTATTCGAGACGGCTTGTTAAGTTAAAAGGTATCTTGAGACGTCTCATTCCACGGTTTCTGCACTCAGAAGTGTGCTTTAGTGCGTTATCTAGCGCTGTTTAAAGTGCTATTATTTTAAAGTGTTATTGCTTTAATAATTACGTGAACTAAATTAGCGTGATAATTGACAGTGCTCTGTGTTGATCTATAGGTGATCCCACCAGTGCAGATGGTGTGGCCTTGGACCGTGGAAAGGTACGTATGCAGAATGCGTTTATGGAGTTTTATTTATTTACTTATTTATTTTTTTATTAAAAAATAGTTTATTTATTTACTATGTCATTTTTAATACATGCAATACATATTATTTTATATTTTAAATACAAGTTATATTTTATTTCTAAAGAGTACATTTATGTAGTTTTATTGATAGACTGATCGATTTTTTTTTTTATTCATAGAGAGTATATTAACAGTTTTTGCTGAGAGTATGTTTATCATTTTATTGATTGATTGATTGATTGATTTATTATTTGTATTTATTGAGAGTGTATTTATAGTTTTATTGATTGTTTGATGGATGGATTGATTGATTAATTTTATTATTTTTATTTATAGAGATTATATTTATATAGGTTTATCTATTGATTGATTGAATGATTGATTTTTATTTATTGAGAGTGCATTTACAGTTTTGTTTGTTTGTTTATGTGTTTATTTATTTAGTTGTTTTTATAGAGAGTGGATTTATAGGATTTTATTTGTTTTATTTTTATTTATAGAGATTACACTTATTTATTTTTATTCATCGAGAGTGCATTCATAAAGTATTTATTTGATTTATTTTTTATTTATAGAGTGTACATTTATATAGTTTCATTTATTTATTAATTGTAGATTAATTATTAATTTAATTTATAGAGTGTGTTTATTAATTTTATTTATTACATATTCAATATATGACATGATTTCATTTAGTTTTAGCAAATGTCATTTTAAGTTATCATTTTAACTTAACGTTTTTTTTTTGTCAAAATGTTTGATTGGTCACTGATATTCATTTAATTTTCTCTCCCATTTTTACTCAGCCTGTGGATTTCAGTTGGAATGAGAATGCCGACAAGAAGTTCGAGTTCGAAGACCATTTCCTCGTTTCCTGTATCCGTTCGAAGAAGGATCCGCAAGTACTGGAGTTCTTCAAACTCCTGTCCTTGTGTCACACCGTCATGGTGGAGCAGAAAGGGGGTGAGGAGACAAAAAATATCATTATCTGCTGAGTAGGCCTGGGTGATAAAACGGTATCGATATTTATCGACAGTACACCTTCTTCGATAACGATAGAAAAAATGTTCGATATAGCGCACGATATAGGCACGTGCTATGAGTGACGCAGACAGCACACACAAACACGAACACATGCTGAAATGAGTGCTGTGCCTGCCTGTGATGAGGAGATTGTGAATAAAGAATGAATATTAGTCGAATTTAAAATTAACATTTGCATTTGAATGTTAAGTGTGCATCAGGAAGCGTCATCAGTGGCGCGCGAGATGCGGTGATGATGTATGTGACGTTGTTGCATTTTAATGTTTTGTTAGTCTAGCCCATGAGACGCGCCGCTGCTGTGTTATGCATTCAAAATATTAGAGAAATATAGAAGCTCAATGCGGAGAAGATCTTGATTAGGTGAAAACCGAAACCAAGCCATTCACACAGAACGCATATTCAGCGCATTTTTTAGATGGACAGATATGACTGCTGCACTCGCGTCTCACAAGAGATGTATAGAAAGCCATGCAAAGTTAAAACCGTTTAAACTTTTAGAAAACGCGTCACGAATTTGTGGAGGTTTATTCCTTTTCACTGTGTCTCTTATGTTTTTAAAGGCAATCTGCGTGATGGGCGATTCGGCTCTTTGTATTAAGCAATGCATAAATACATGATGCTGTTTTGTTAATAATTATGCAATTTACGAAATTATATTCGATTTTTATGAGTTAATTTAGACGTAATGCACGTTTTTTTTATAGAGTTACTTCCTTGCGTTGACAATTTAAATGCGCTGCATTATTTTGCTCATTGCGCCCTCCTGTTGCCTCGGGAGACAAGACAAAAGTTTCCTTAAGGCCTATTTAATCTGCATATAAAACATTAGAAATGAAATATTCATTTAATTTTTATTTTGTGTTTGATTGTTAAAACAAAAAAATATTTGTTGTCTCAGTAAATTGGGTTATTTTAACAATACAGTGGTTAAATTTAAACATTTTTTTAAACATTTAAACTATTGTTTTTTTGTTTTAAAAAAGGTTATAAAAAATGTCAATAATTATCGATACCGAACGGTATGAAACATTATATCGTTGATACATTTTTTAGCTATATCACCCAGCCCTAGCTGAGATTATGCAAAAATAAACCATTGACACAGTAATCAAGCATGTATGCTTTCATCTCAGACTTATTGAGCTTTCCTAATCCTACTTTGTGTACTATCTGATCAAATAAGTCAAAAGTACAGAAAAATGCAGCAGATATTATTTAAAGTTAATTTATGTACTGCATATTTTCTCTGTGTTCAGATGAGCTGGTGTACCAGGCCGCGTCTCCTGACGAGGGCGCTCTGGTCACGGCCGCACGCAACTTTGGGTTCGTGTTCCTGTCCCGAACGCAGGACACCATCACCATCATGGAGCTGGACCATGAGGAGACCTACGAGGTGCTCGCTCTGCTCGACTTCAACAGCGACCGCAAGCGCATGTCCATCATCCGTGAGTCCTGCTCCTTCTGTTCTTCACTTCCTGTCTGTCAGTCACCGTCACCTGTTTCTCACTCTTGTGTGTGTTTGTGTGTAGTGAGATTTCCAGATGGTAGAATCCGTCTGTACTGTAAGGGTGCAGACACTGTGATCTACCAGCGACTGGATGCCAATAGCAAGAATAAAGAAACCACGCAAGAAGCTCTGGATGTGAGTACTAACACTATTAACAAATTCATTTGCATATGTTAATGAGGTTCAGCATGCCATTGCAAATTAAAGGGACAATTCGACAGTTTTGTCATCACATAATTTTTTTCCATGGAATGCAAAGAATTTTTAGAGAATGTTTAATGGAGAATTTTTAAATGACATTTAAAATTTTTTAAATGTGTCAAGCTCCAGTAGATAAAACACCATAAAATAGCATAAAAGTACTCCAGAAGCAGGGTTATTATATCTAACTAAAACTAAAACCAGGAAAATAAAACTTGAAATTAGTGCTGTCAAATGATTAATCACAATTAATCGCATCCAAAATAAAAGTTTTTGTTTACATAATACTGTATATGTGTGTGTACTGTGTATATTTATTATGTATATATAAAGACACACACATACAGCATATATTTTGAAAATATTTACATGTATATATTTATATTCATATAAATTATATCATATATAAATATATTTAATATATAAACGTAACATATTTTTCTTAAATATGTACATGCATGTGTGTGTATTTATATAGACAATAAATATACACAGTACACACACATACAGTATATTATGTAAACAAAAGCTTTTATTTTGGATGCGATTAATCACGATTAATCGTTTGACAGCACTACTTGAAATAAAATCAAATATAAAACAACTTAAACTTATAAGGCAACATTTCTCATTTTCATTTAGTTTGTCTTGATGCACTAAAAAGTAAAACTAAAACTGAAATAAAAATGAATAAAAACTACATAGACTAATTACAAAAAACTAATAAAAGTCTCAAAAACACACAACAAAATCTCAAAAAAAAAAAATGTTCAAATTAAAATGAAAACAGAAAAACTATAAAAGTATCTCATTGGTACTAAAATAATCCCGATTCAAAGTCTCAGTAGACATAGGATTGCTTTTTGTGAGGAACAGACTGTGAAGTTGATGCACCATGTCAGATTTGATGGCATTGACACCAATGATAACTTAATTCTGGTTTCATTTTACTGGCATATTAGAGTCAAAGAGGGGATTTTGGATATCTCTTTTTATTACTCAATAAATCAGAAAATACTGTTAAAAAATACATTTTCACCATGTTTTTAGGAATAAAATCAAGAAAATTATATATAAACAAACCCCTCAGTAAAAACTTTTAGAATATAGATAAAAATATAACTGTGTATGTATGTGCTGCTGAAGTTGAGAAAAAACTCCTTTAAACAAAAACGGCCTTTAAATATATGTATTGTATAATGTGCAATAATAATATCGAATTATGTATGAACAAACCCCTCAGTAAAAACCTTCTGAATACATATAGGAATAAAGATGTACATATTGGTGTATGTACGTGCGGCTGAAGTTGAGGAAAAAACTCAGCAATTAAAATGATGTATTGTAATTGAAATCTACAGATTAAAAGTGCAATAAGATAAACAATTAAATGTTTTCTTTCCACTATTCTGAAACAGCACAAATAGCCAAATAGCCCAAAATCTCAAAATTGACTGATGAATGAAAAGTTTTTTCCTGTAGTTCCTCGCTTAAAGCAGAAGAATAGCATGCATTGTGTGCTAAACGGTTGGATTTCTCTTTCAGATCTTTGCGAACGAGACGCTGCGAACTCTGTGTCTGTGCTATAAGGACATCAGTCAGGCGGAGTATGACGCTTGGTCTCAAAAACACCAGGCCGCCAGTGTTTCGATGGGGAACCGTGAGGAGGCTCTGGACGTGCTGTACGAAGAGATCGAGAAAAACCTTCTGGTAGGGAAACAAGAAAGGAAAATCAGTATTCATTTCAGGGAAGTGACTAGTGATCGATTGATATATTAGTCAGGCTCATTAACCTGCCAGTGTTTGGATAATTGCTATTGGCTGAGAACAGACACTTTTTAGCAGACCCTTTTATCCAAAGTGACTTAAAAGTGAGAATAATATATTATGCTTAATGTTCAAATCTCTTCAGGTTGATAGTGTTTAAATTAATAATGTAAATTTTGATTAATGATAGTGTTAAACAATGATAGTGTTTAATAAAATTTCAGCAAATTTGTGAATGTCTACTTTGTTAAATTGTACAAAAATATTTTTATATATTGTATAGTTTGTTAATATTAGAAAATATATACTTTTAATTCAAATTTCATATTAAATCGAATGTGCTAATAAACTTAACCTGTTATATTATGTATGAAATATATCAAATATATTATACATTTAGTATTACACTTTTGTTATATTACTCATCCTACTAGATATGTGCTATATATCTTACGAAAATCTATATTTATTAAAAAGAGATTTATTAAAAAGTCATATTACATTTGTTAAATGGGCTAATAAAACATTTTTGCATGTATTTTATATATAGATATATATTAAATATATTACATACATATACATACATACGTGTGTGTGTGTGTGTGTTTGATGAATGTGTCATTTGTTTATTGTTTCAGCTGATTGGAGCAACAGCCATTGAAGATAAACTTCAGGACGGCGTTCCAGAAACCATTGCAAAACTGGCCAAAGCTGACATCAAGATCTGGGTTCTGACCGGAGACAAGAAAGGTGAGTGATGATCGTGAAATATTGTGTTATTATAAAACGGATATTTCCGGTCCTTGATTCTGATTGGTTGAGTCGCGTTCGAAGCTGTTGTAAATTACTCTACAAACATACACCGTTGTTTACTTCTGTGTTGCTCGGCAACTACTTTGTTGGAACCACAACTGTTTCTGAGGAACTACATTGTTTGGCTGAAGAATGATGT